GAACCACTGAGCTAAAGCCCTGGCGCCAGAGTCCTTTCTAAGAAAATGACAAGTGCAACTGAATCTAAAATCATAAACTCTAGGTAACATTACAACTCCTGCTGCTAGACGGGTGGACTCTGATGGCAGATGGCAGAGGAGGAGCCAGGGATGGACCCGTCCTTTGTGCCCATGCTCAAAGGGGAATACCCATGCTGCACAGGTCTGAAGAGTCACCAGCCTGGGTGAGGGTGAGGGTCTTACAGAGACGAGACTGAAGCCCCTACCACAGTCATCACCTGTGCGAATACAGATCCCCCCTGGGGCAAAGAGCAGCTTGTCCTTAAGAGTGACTGAGTAAAAGCCTGGAAGATGTGCTCCCCGGCTCCACAGAGTTCGGCTGTGTCACATCTGTGGTCATCTCACTCCATGGCTGCCATTTCCCTCGTAAAGACCTGATGTGCACCCAGAGGAAAACCTCCATGAACTCATGCAGGAAGCCCAGAGGCCCGGCACTGTTGCTATCTGAACAGCCATCCTGTGTCCCACTGCCCCTAAACCTCATTCCCAGCCCCCAATCTCTTACAATCCAGAGAAGTCACTCCTATTAGTGGGGAGCATCATGTTCCTGGCCAATCTGGTCCAGGGCATCCCACTACACCACTGGGATGAAAGCCAAAGCCTCTCCAGCCCACCAGGCACCCAACTCAGAGCCCACTGCTGAACCAGCCCTGCCCCAGTCCTTGCCCTCTGCCCCACAGATCTCGGGTCTCACCATGAACACACTGGCACTTGGCTGGTTGCTAATCACTGCTGTCTGCATGGCTTAGGACTCAGCCGGGAAACGAATGTTCACTGAGGTATACCAGGGACAAGGACAGCCCTCTCCCTCAGGGATCAGTTTCTCCCAGACAAGACCTCTAAATGTGATGAGAGCAGGACCCGTCCTACTTGTTCAACACTGTGCACACAGTAGGCACCAAAAAGTACCCTGAGTGAGTAGCCCTAGCCTTTCCTAGAGCCAGAGGCATCCATGCATGCTCAAGGGCCCATGGCTGCACAAGGTGGCCTGCAGGGAGCCACGAAGGGCTTCCACACTGCCCAAGTGTGGGACATGAGGGTAGCAGCTTCTTGTCACTTCCTGGACATTCCTTGTACAGCACGAAACACCAACAGACATTCAAATGATTGGGAGTGAATCAGCAGAGTAGGGGCAGTAAGCAGTACTTGTCATTTTAAAACTATAAAGAAATGTAAAAAGACTAAATGCCTTTTTATTGTTTTACTACATTTCCTTTTACTTCACAAATTTAGAAATAGTTAATGTATTGTTTTTTATTTAAAAATAGAGCTGATGAGAATTTTCTTGCTATATACAAAATCAACAGAAATAATACCATGTAAACTATAAAAAACAACAGGGGATCCACAAGAAAAGGAGCAGAACCCCACCCGATACGGCCTAAGCCTAACGGCATGCTCTTCTCTGACACGAGGGTGACAGGAACACTGAGAGAACCACCTGGAGAGGCCAGGACCCCTCACCTTGGCATTCAGCAGCAAGAACAGTGCGTGGTCAGGGGTGGTGTGTGCCCGCCACTGCAACACATCTGCCAGGAACAGGAACTGCAGAAGAGGGGTCAACCTGTGGCGGCCTTCCTGGTGCTCGGCTCTTACACCACCCTGCAGGAGCCACCCATTACCTTTCGAGCCTGGTCGCTGTCCTCCAGGTGAGCCAGCTCTCTCCCAGAGGCCTGTGCGATTCTCTTTCCAGCAACTAGGTTCCCAACGACCATTGAGGCTGGTCCCACCTCTACACCAGGATTCCAAGAGACAGAAGCTGACATGCTCTAATCCAGAATCACCATGTAACTTTACTTGTTACTGTGAAATAAACCTGTTTAGGCATTTACTTCTCCTCTCAAAATATAAGTATCCAGAAAACCAGCTATGAGACTTATGTTGAATGACAAAGAGAATTTCTCTCTTACATATAAACTCTGTCACACTGAGAAATTTACCACTCAGCATCTTTCAAGGGACCTCAGCCAAATTCTTAATATTTCATACATAAGTCAGAAACCTATTCCTGATGAAATGTATTTTATGTAGTGATATTTTGTGTTCAATAATTTGCAAGAAAAGTTAGCTTACATTAAAAATTTACATGATTAAAATACTGACAAAATACATGTAATAGTTAAACCAGTATTTAATTTTTAAATGTGTAAAATCAGGACAGAAAAATAACCATTGAGAGACTTCCAAGGCCCCATCAACCCCATGGCTAGGGCAGGTCATAGTCTATGGTGGAAAGCTAGTTCCTGAGGACAGGTGGGCTGGCCCAAAGTAGTAGTCCCCAGAAACCAGGTCTGCTCTTGGGCATCATGTCTCTCCCAAAGCCATCTCCTGGCTGTCCAAGGCTCAGGTGGCATCCTCAAATTTACCATTAAGATTGGTCCCTAAAAGCAGGTGGAAACCACCATACAGACAAAATGGCAGTGTCCTCACTTGTGGCTCTGTTCTAGAAAGATGGGGTGGTAACCAACCTGGTGCACATACTTGCTCTGGTCCCTATGCCAGCCCCAAAAAAGTGGGTATTACTACTGCAGGGTCTAATGGGGCTCCGTTCTGATCCACAATACTGGCTACCACCAACTTTAAGAATGGAAGGAGTCCTGCTGTGTGGCACACTCACCTGGTTGCTTCTGACGAGGTTTGGGAAGGTTGGTGACACACGTGTGAGGGCACATCAGGACGTTACATGGATGCAGGGTCCCTTCCAGGAAGCGCTGTTTGGTTTCTGAAACATGAATCCCTCCAAGAGGAGCCTTGGGCAAGGTGTTGGCAGGAACTAGGGCCAGACAGTACACGCCCACCTGGTGGATGCTGTCGATGGCCTGGAAGGGAAGGCCCCTGATGGACACATGCTGCCATCCAAGGAAGTAAGAAGTGGAGAGTCCACCAAGCTGGACCTGAAGTCCCAAGGCCAGGTAATAATGACCCCTGGACATTTTAAGTGAGAAAAAGGGGTGAAAAGCATATGCCCTTTTCTATCATGTGCCTAAGAAAGGGGAGATGCCCACTATGTACACATATATCCTAACCCTAATCCTAACACTAAGTCTACACTGCTATGTTAAACATGAACCTCAGCAGCCATGGAAGAGCATCAAGTGTTTTCTTTTAGAAGAGGTGAGGAGCAAGGACAGAGTCCAGATGTATCTGAATATCTTTGTTTCTGGATTTGAATTTGGAACCATGCTTATATTTTAAATATAGCAAACTTAAAATTTAAAAGGTAATCCCTAGTAACTGAAAGTAAAATAAAGCAAATGAACTCAACCCAACACCACACACTAGGCACACTCAAGAGGCTTGGACTAATGTGACTTTGAAGTCTTGACAGTCTATCCAAAGTGGGCCAGGCACATGTAAAGGTACAAGATCCCAGTAATGAATGTAACTGTACTGTCTACCTAGAATGTACCAATAAATTCAATTTAAAATTTAAAAAACAAACAAAACCCAAAGTGGGCCAGGCAAAGGGCAGAGATCTGCAGAACTGTGTGAGCAATTCTCAGCTGCTGTTTGGAGGTGGCAGGAAGACCGCAACTTTGAGGCTATAAGGCTACAGAGGGGGCTTGAAGTCACTGAATGATTCTACAGCAGTCAACGGCCCCACGCTTTTTCAGGGTGGGAGACAAAAGACCAATAACTTAGGAGAAAACCCCATGGTCCTGAATTTGAGTTGAAACTCAGCATCAACACACAACATTAACAACCTTTTCTTCTCTGTCCTCTGAAAAAAGCCGAGAAACGGTGATTGTGACAATAACATCAAATGCAGACAGTGGCCTCCAACTCCAGACCCTCGGGACAGGAAGGGAAAATTGCCCAGCACCCCGGCTTCCTGTTTCTACTGTGGCCTCACAGAGCCAAAGGAGTGTCAAAGTGCTCCCACAAGGGTTGGGGATGTAGCTCAGCAGCACAGTGCCTGCCTGGCAAACATGAAGCCCTGAGATGATTCCTGGTACCAAAAAAAAAACAATGCTACCACTGACTTATTATTATTTTTGTGTGTGGCTCTAGGGATCCAATCTAGAGCCTCTGCGCTAAGCTACACCCCCAGCCCTTGCTATAACATGTTTTTTGTTTTGGGGGTTTTGTTATGTTTTGTTTTGTTTTGTTTTGTTTTGAGACAGGGTCTCACTATGTAGTTGAGACTGACCTGGAACTCACTATGTATCCCAGGCTGGTCTCGAACTCACAGCAATCCTCCTGCCTCAGCCTCCCAAGTGCTGGGATTACAGGCATGCACCACCAGGCCAGGCACTACAACACTTTCTGAGACAGAGCCTCAACAAGTTGCCCAGGAAGGCCTCAAACTTGTGATCTTCCTGCCTTAGCCTGCCAGGGTGCTAGGATTACAGGTGTGCACTACCATGCCTGGCTGTCCCACTGACTTCTTTAAGATGAAAAACATGGCTACCATACAGTGAAACACAGCCAACACGTTTAAATTCATTAGTTTAAGATGGAATAAAACAGAGCTTAGCAATCACTTCTAGAGGACTCATTACTCTGAAGTCCATTGTCATCTGATTTCCTGCACAACCCATCCTCCCAAGTAGTGGAGCTGATAGCTCCACTTAATCAAGGAAAAACAGAATCAAAGTCTCACCACTATGAAATCATGAATCACAGGCAGAGGACACTGGCACCCCAAGCAACAGAAGAATCGCCAGATATTATGTGTCACCTTTCAGGGGAAATTTTGCCAAATCTGACCCCGAATCCAATCCAATTTCCAGATCTGCCCACCAATGAACATAAAGGACAATGGACAGGACATGTTAAATGACACTCAAACGTGCAATCTCAAAAGGGATTTAGGACCTTATTTTAAGTCTAACAACCTAAATTATCATTAGATAATTAGGGAAATTTGAATAATGGCTAGACACCTAATTCCATCAGTAAAAAACAATTTTAAAGATGTGCCAGCGGTACTTCTGGGGCACAGATGATGCCACATGCCAACTATAGAAGCAGAGCAAGGGGTGGGGCACTCTTGAGGCCTGGCTCCATGACCCATGCATCACACATACGCAATGCTCTCTAAGCTACTTCCTTCCCCGTTCTCGCGCACTGTGGGGAAAGCGCCTACCCTGTACCCACCTGCAGCACTCGGCTCATCCACTGGAAGCTGTCCTCCTCTGAGGCGTCCGGCCGCTGCTCCGCTACGAGGACGATCCGGTCATCATGCAGCACGGTCACAGAGAACACAGCGATCCTGAGGAGGATGAGGAGAAGTGACTGCACAGCAAGAGAGCACAGGAGTTTCTCCCCTCAAGGTGGAAGAAACACAGTGCACAAATGCCTGAAGTTCAGCCTAATAGTCTCCTCAAGGTTGGCTGAAATAAGCTTCAACCCACAAAAGCTGACAGGACTTCAGCACTAATACAAACAGTCAGGCACAGATTTTTAAAAGAAAAATTCCTGATTTCTAACACTGACATATGTGCACAGTTCTAAGTTTCTACTGCATTTTTTAATTCACCAGATTCTTCCACTAATGAATTAATCTACTCATGTGTATATAATTACTGGATTTTGACTTTTTTGTACTTGTACTTAGGAAACTCCAACAAGTCTTCCTGTGTGTGTGTGTGTGTGTGTGTGTGTGTGTGTGTGTGTGTTATTTTTTTCTTCTTTGGACTTTGAGTTGCTATCTCTTCTTTGTCCCACAAAAGCCCACTTACTAGTAGGTAATTCTGGGTAATTATGGATTTTTTTTTTCTCCTTCTTTCCTTTGGCCGGTGTGTACACACACACACACACACACACATTTTTTTTTTTTTTTGTACCAGAGATTGAACTCAGGACCTTGCGCTTGCAAGACAGGAGCAGTACCACTGAGCTAAATCCTCAGTCCCATACATACTTTTTTTTTATCCAACAGATTTTATCCCTGCTGAGTTTTTTGGTCATAAATTTTGCAGCATTTCTTAAATTTATTTCTCTTAGTACTTTGTCCAAAAGTATTTCAACATATTAGATCTTTTTGTGGCATGCCTGAAAATATTTTTTATTACAACTCCTCAATTAAGTTACAATTTAGATGGACATAAAATCTATTTTAAAACAAAAAACAGGGCCAGAGATTTAGCTCAGTGGTTCCACCACCTGCCTCCTAAGTGCAAAGTACCGAGTTTGATCCCCAGTAACAACAACAACAAAAAAAAGTCAGGCATGGTGTTGCACACCTGTAATCTGAGCCCGTGAGAGGCTGAGGCAGGAGGATCACCTGGACTAGATAGCAAGACAGTGTCTCAAACAAACAAAAAACAAAACAAAAAAGCCTTAAAAGACATCACCGCACTGACATTTTGCATCCGCTTCACTATGAGAAATCTAACACATTTTGCTGGGGTCCATCATGGTCTCCTATGAGAACAGATGAGCTTGCCAGGCCAGGGCCACCTCAGACCCAGCCCCAGTCCCAGTTCTGAGAGCCCCAGCCTCTGCCTCCTCAGACAACCAACCACTAGGCCCCACACATATCACTCTTCCTGAGCGTGCTTTCTGGACGTTCTTCTCTCCCATCTCTCCCAACAATCCTTCGAAACTTTCTATTTCTTCACTTCTGACGTAGGTTTTCAATGTGATCTTCCAGTTTATGAACCCATTCACTAGCTGTACTAATTGTATTCATTCTGTGCATTGTGCGCTGTTTAAGCAGTTATTCTGTGAGGACTATGTGACCTTACTCCATGTTGCCAACATTCTTGGCTGCTCTCTTCCACAGCACAGGTGCAGCTGGTTGTGGCTTCCCTTCAAGGGCATCAGTTCAGGAGACTCACCCGTCTACAGAGGCGATCTCCCCACATACTGCTGACTGGCTGTCCAGGCCCAGGTGGCCACCTTACCATCGACCCACAGACATTTGCACCAACAGACACCTTCACCCAGATTCTGCTGTGAAAGGCAGATCACTGGTGAGAGGTGCAAGTATCCCAAGCTGTGGCCACCCCTACACTCACACAGCCTATCCTGTGGTCATCCTGAGTGGGAGTCCCACATTCCCTGTGCCCTATCCTCAGAGTTTCTTCAAGTCTGACACAGGGGCAGGCCTGCAGCCTGCTACGCAGAATTCCCTAGAGATTTCTTTAGGGATACAGAAAGGCAGGGCCTGGCCTGGCTCACAATTTAATATCCAAAGGTACTCCCTTGAGAAGTGTGAAAGGCTGTATGGGCCCATTAGGAGAAGGGCTTCATCTAGGGCAAGGGGCTGGGCCAGGGGAAGGACCTAGAAGAAATCCCCTCCATGATCCCTGCCCACTGTGGCACAGCCTTACAGGTCCAATTAACCACTCAGTGAAATGGGAATCTCTCACGTCCCTGCTTAACGTGTATAGAAAAGCTGCATGGATTTTACCCAAAGAGCACTGCAGAGTGCTGTGTGTCTCACTAACTTTCCTAGAAATGAGAATTTGCTTTCAGTGATTTAATGGAGAAAACCACTGTTCTCTTTTAATCTGCAGTTTGGGGGCCATTAGGAAGAGGGATCCACTTCTGCTGATCCATCTTTCCCCAGCAGCTACCTATCTCTTGTCCCTCGTCCCTTTGCCCAGTCCTCTAGACTCTCTTAAGGAATTAAACAAACTCTTTGGACAGTGAGGACATTAACTCTGGTACCACTACTGCAACTATTTTCATGTTCCTTTGAAGGTTCTTCATATGTATAAGAGCTTTTAGGTTGTACAAGTTCAGACTGACTGGTCTTTCCTTTCACAATAGAGACTTCTTGCTCTCTAGTTAGTGTGGAACCTGAATCCCACAGCACAGGGCTCCACAGAGCATCACCTGCCTCTGTAGACAAACTTCATGGGCTCCACAGCTAGGGCGGTGGCCACCACATCATCTGCATTATGTCTTCGGACTCCCACAACCATCAGCCCATCCAGCTTGCCCACGACGAAGATCAGGTTATCCTGTGGGAAAGGCGTGGTCAGGCCCAGCCAGGCATAGCCAAAAATACACAGAATCGCACACCTCACAGGATCAAAAGAGCTGTAAGCACCTTCCAGCAACAAGAGGGCATGAGTTTCAGGGTGGCTGCTGCGAGATGTGAGGGGGAATTAGGTTGTGGGTAAAGTTTGCAAAGGACTTTGGAAATTACTGGGTAGAGGCAGAGTTCCCAGTCACGGTGCTGTTCTGTGAACAAAACTGCCACAGGTGCATGGTGGGTGCTGAGCAGCACCCTGTCCACTAGATACCCACAGCTACCATAGCACTCTCCCCTGAGCAGGGGCCACCATACGTCCCCTGGAATGAAGTGGGCAAAGCCACCCAGCTAAGAACCCCTGCACAAAGATATAACAAAAAAGTATTTCTTTTAAAATATTTTAGACATATAAAATGGTAAAGAATGATACCACAAATAGCCATGTACTTGTTACCCTGTAAAAAAACGAAAACTACCTCACCTACCCTAGGTGGCCTTCATGTGGGTCTGGGACCCAGTCTCACATAACTGTGCACAGCCTGCACATAAAACAAGGCAGTAGATAGGGGTGGGCAGCATGGAAAGCAGGGCAATGGGACACACCCATCTGGAGCAAGGTGTCCTTTATCTCCGCCTGACCTCCTCAGTGAGAGGACATACTCACAGGACCGATGAAGCCCAGAAGGCCTGTCCTGGTGAAAGGCCTCTCAGAGACAGGGACTCCTCCTGCAGTGACCGGGACAGTCTGCAGAGCAGAAGGGGACATCAGCCTGTGGATAGTAACCGACTGCCAGAAAGACAACACTCTTGCCCACGATCTGGTTATCATCACCTTACTTCATGGGAGGGAAGACACTGCCAAGATCAGGGTCTCTGGGCTCCCATGGTCTCTGTGGCCTGTTTACTTGGCAGGAGTGCTCTGTGATGAGCAGGGCGCCCTGGAGCAGGACTTGAGTGCTCCTCGCTTCTATGAGCACCTGCCTCTGCTCTGCCCACAGCACCCTGCGACCCCTTCCCCCAACACTAATGGGTCTTGATTTCAACAGGAAGATCATGAAGTGGTACAAACCTCAAACACATTCTTTGTGATTCCAAGCAACCCATAGTATGCTGTCCCAGTTGCACTGGAATTCACACAGATTTCTCCAACTTCATCAGTTTTACAAAGATAAGGGGTACCTTCTACCTTCACAATACACACGCTAGCTAAAAAGAAAAAAATTCAGTCACAAATGAAAAATGTATTTAAACAGATTATTCACAAAACCCTGCTTCCTGCTATATTGTTAGAGAAACAAGACATTACAGTTGCAACACATTCTTCAAAGGAGACTTATGACATGGATAATATGCACTTCACCTAGTGATTAAGTCTTTACCTCGCATGCTCCTGCCCGTGGGTTCGATCCTCAGCACAGCAAAACATCAAAAAAGCATTATGCGCGATTAAAAAGTGCAACGTGGTGAGGTGTGGTAGCAAATACCTGTAATTCAGCTACCTGGCTGAGGAAGAAGGAAAGCAAGTTTGTGGCTAGCTAGGGCAATGTGGCAAGTATTATTTATCTAAAACTAAAACACTGAAGGGCTGTAGATCAGTGGTAGAGCACCTGCCTACCATGTGCAAAGCCCTAGGTTAAAAAAATTTATATGACACATCCTTTGTGTGGAAAGTCTCAGCCAGCAGAAGGTTCCTCTCAGATGAAAGAGAAGGCTAGAAGTACTCAGCTAAAGTGCAGTGAGGTGTTGATCTGTTTCACCATCTAGCAGAGCCAGCTCCATACTGCACTATCAGGTATGCAAAGAGACAGAATTAAAATCATAAAAAGGCACACACACCCCAACACTCCACTTCATATTGCCACAAAAACTGTGGCACTGACAGAGGAAGACTGTATAGCTGCAGACACGGAAACACTGGGATAGAAGACCTAGGTCAGTGCTGTCCACCTGGGCACTGCAAGAGGCAATGGAAGGGCTGAGAAAACATGTACACACACAAATGTATGCATGCACACACACACACACACACACACACCCCTGGGATCCATGCACACACACAAGTGCCTGGAGGCACTGGACATACACGTGTGCCTGGAAGCACTGTGCATACACGTGCCTCAGGGGCACTACACACACACACACACACACACACACACACACGCCTGGGAGGCTCTGTGCATACATACTCACACATCTGGAAGGCACTGCACACATACATGTGCCTGAGACGCTGTCACACCCAACACACACACATCCCTGGTGGGATACTACACACACACATATACATCTGGGGAAGATGTGCACCCACACACCTACTGCCCATACATCAAAGTCACTGCATGTGCACACACACACACAAACACATCTAGAGGTCACTGCACACATGCCTAGAGGGCTAACTACATTATGATTTAGATATTAAAATGTCCTCCACTGTAAGACTTGAATAAGCTAAAGTGACTCCATGCTAATAGGCCAGACTGTGCTTCTTCATATGCTAATTGCTACCTTAGTTAACAGCCCGCCCAGGGGCAAATGGTATGACAAAAGGTGACCATAGAACATTTCCTGCATAAGATAAGCAATGTGTTTGCAGTCTTGTTCTGTGAATTCCCTGACTCTTTGTTTAGAAAAACCTTATAAAAAGGACCTCAGGCCCTGAGCAGTGGCCTCTCTGAGCCACCTGGCTCCGGGAGTGCCGTCTGCCCAGACTAATAAAGGTCTATTTACCATCTAGCCTGGTGTGTTCCTTCCTGGGTTTTGTTAGAAAAGTTTTCAAGAAGCTCCAGTAGCCCAACCCCTAGCAGAGTCAGCTAACTATGACAGGCCAGAAGGTCACGTTAACCATTTATGAACAGGAACCAAGATAAGCATCTGGTACAGAACGACCGGACCTAGCCCTAAACATTCCCATAAATGATCCCCCACCGAAGTCCCCCCTCCCCTTTCTCGGAATTCCCCCTCCCCTATAGCTTGTGGTTTTTTTCTTTAAAAACTGTGTATCTACCCTGCTTCGGGGCTCAGCTCCTCTGCCCCTGCGAGGGCTATGAGCTGAGCCCCAGGGCGCTGGAATAAAGACCTCTTGTGTTTTGCATCAAGAATCGTCTCTCCGGGGTGTTTATGGTGCATCGTGGCGTCCCGGACTTAGAGTGGGGGGATTCCTCCCTGGGAGGATCTTACAGTTTCTCGTTTTTCCATCGAGCTCCCGGAGCCTTGCTGGGTGTTAGGACCCAGCATCATGGTGTAGTGAACATGTAAAACATAGGATTTTGTGACCCACAAAAAGCAGAATTAAGCAAAGTAAAACTAGAGTGAAATTAAGTGAGACTTGACAGCTGACAGCTTGGAAGCTGACAGCCTGGATGCTGAGTGTTAAGACAGATAAGAGTTTGCTGTGACATGTGGGGAATTCCCCCCCCGACCGTGTGCCGTGACACATGACTGCTGTGACATAAGATTAAGAGTTTGAAGTGAGGTAATGCGAGTGTTGAGGAGTTAACTTAGATAGAACATATGGATATTTTAGATTAGAAAGGATTTAAGGTATAAAAGGAGAAGACTACAGACAGATGACGTCGCTTGACGACTCCGTCAAGATGACCTGCTGAAGCTCTGC